CCTTTTTGAATTAAACTCTTAGAATGAACTATAGCAAATAAACTGGCAACTTTTTCACTAAATAAACTGAAGTAATTTTAAGATTTTGTACACATTTTTTACTTTTTAATTGTCATATATCTTCATGAAGTATCACAAGAAACCACATTTCAAATGGTAACAGCAGAGACGGAGATATCCTGCGTGTGCAAAAATGCTGAGTCCTACATTTTCCATAATGCAACTTTCCCACTAGTCATAGGGAGGGCATCATCTGAAGTGGGCAGCCAAAGGATTTTAAATAATGTGACTTTGGCGCCATCCGGTGGAATAAACTGTCAGACAAAGTACACACTGCTGCAAAACATAAGCCTCGCCAATTTTCACCCACTTACTCAGGAAAATTGAAAACATTTCCTGTAATTTATTTAACCCGAGATAAAGTTTAGCATGCTTTCTTCTGTAGGTGCTCAGATTGTGGGCATCAACTGCCACTTTGACCCGATGACCTGTGTGAAGACTGTGAAGATGATGAAGGAGGGAGTGGAGAAGGCCGGGCTGAAGGCTCACTACATGTGCCAGCCACTGGCTTACCACACCCCCGACTGCAACTGCCAGGGATTCATTGATCTGCCCGAGTTCCCTTTCAGTATGTATACACTCTCAAAACTGATGCTTCTCAACATTAAGTGAGGAGTGTTAACCAACAAATCAAAAATGCATTTTGTTCCTCTTAGGGAAGTAGTTCAAATGCACTTGATTGCCCTTGTCTGATGGCAATTAAACAAAAACACTTGGGAAACTTAACATCAATGTCTTTTTTGATGGCCGGTGTGGTTCAGAAGAATGGAAATAGTTCCTACAAGAAACTGCTGACAAAAAGCTCTGTGGATTATCTTGAGTAATTATTTTTGGAAAGAAACTTTGCTGTTGTGTCTTTTTCAAATGTATTTGATTGGCACTTTGAACACCACAAGCCAAGTGCCATCCAGTTCCATTATATCCAAGAGAAGGCAACATTTTTAGGGCCAATGTCTGCAACACTTAACCCACACAAAAACAATCTACATTGATAAATAGCACAAGTAAGAGGAAAAGTATGTATTTTGGAATTTTGGAGTGACCTCAAACCTAAATGTGACATTATGTTTTAATAAAAGTACCACCACGTGTTCTCCGACAGGCCTGGAGCCGAGGATCCTGACCAGATGGGACATGCAGCAATACGCCCGTGAAGCGTACAATGCCGGTATCCGTTACATCGGAGGCTGCTGCGGATTTGAACCTTACCACGTCCGTGCCTTGGCCGAGGAGCTGGCCCCCGAGACGGGCTCCCTGCCTCAGGGCTCTGAGAAGCACGGCATCTGGGGCAGTGGCCTGGAAATGCACACAAAGCCCTGGGTCAGAGCTAGGTACTGGAAGGCTTTCTCCTCATGTTGTAATCTGAGAATACGTCCAAATGTAGTTATTAAATGGTATTTCTCTCTGTAGGGCCCGTCGTGACTACTGGGAAAATCTGAAGCCAGCGTCCGGACGTCCCTTCTGCCCCGCTATGGCCAAGCCCGATGGGTGGGGGGTCACCAAGGGCCACGCTGACCTGATGCAACAGAAGGAAGCCACCTCTAAGGATCAGCTGAAGGTTCTCTTCGACAAGTCCAACAAAAGCAACTGAGCTCCCCTCTGAAGCATCTTGTTTTATAGGAAGAAGCTTAGAGAGGGCGAAGAATCAGTGCCTGAAGTTTACAAACCAAAAAGATTGAAATGCTGAAGTTCTTTCTTTCTTTTTAGGACCTTTTTTACTGTGTGGAAGACTTGTATCATGCTTAAATTGGAAAGTCATAACTAACCATGAGTGCCTGTAACCTTTTTGTCAACTGTGAGCCTGGTGAAATGACTGTGGCTGAAAAACTGTGAATGCACCTGAAGAAATGACTGTAACACTCCAAAAGTGCTTAATGTTGTCTTATAAAAGATGATGTGTAGCAATAAACTTCTAAATTGAATTAAAAAAAAAACTGCTTGTGTGTGTTTTTCTTTTTTTTAAACTCTAAAAATAAATAAATGTTGCTTATTTGATGCAGGGATGAAAAGTAACTAATTTAAGCTATTAAAGTACACTGTTGTCGTACTTGATCACCTCCATTTTCGGCTACTTTATACCTCTACACGACTACATTTAAGAGGCCTTTAACTAAATGTATTTAAATGATGCATTTATTTAATTTGCAGATTCAAATTTAAATGATAATCAAAGTTACAGTTAATTGACCCATAGGGGACACAAGAGTAAAGGTACTTCAAATAAGCCCCACCTCTCTAAGTGATGCTTATACAGTACCTGTCAAAAGTTTGAACTAACTATGAAATAACACATGTAATTATCTAGTAAACAAAAAAGTGTTAAAAAATCCAGAATATGATTTTTATTTTAGATTCTTCAAAGCAGCCTCCTTTTGCCTCGATGACAGCTCTTGGCTTCTCTGTCAGCTTCTCAGGTCGTCACCTGGAATGGTTTTCAATGAACACGTGTGCCTTGTCAAGAGTCCATTTGTGGAATGACTTGCCTTCTTAATGTGTTTGAGACCATCAGTGTTGTGCAGAGGTAGGGTTATATTAGTGCACAGCGGAAAGCCCGATTTGACTACTGTTGTAATCCATATTATGGCAAGAACCACTCAACTCAGTAAAGAGAAACGACCGTCCATCATCACTTTAAGAAATGAAGTCCAGTCGATCCGGAAAATGTCAAGAACTTTGAACGTATCCTCAAGTGCAGTCGCAAAAACCATCGAACGCTATGATGAAACTTGAAAACTATTCCAGGTGACGACCTCATGAAGCTGAGAAGCCAAGAGTGTGCAAAGCCTTTCATCAAGGCAAAAGGGGGCTACTTTGAAGAATATAAATCATATTCTGGATTTTTGAACACTTTTTTGTTTACTAGAGAATTCCATGTGTTCTTTTATAGTTTTGATGTCTCCAGTATTGATCTACAATGTAGAAAAAAAATCTAATAAATAAAAACCTGCGAATGAGAAGGTGTGTACGGACTTTAGACTGGTACTGTATATTATTCTGTTATAATTTAATAGCCTATAATATATTGCATAAAATTAGACATTCTTCATATTGACTTATTTTACTTTTGATCATTTAAGTATTGTTTGATTCTATGATATCAAACAATGCAAATAACAGCAGTGTTAATCTTTTGTTGCCTGTATAAAGAAGACAGATTGTATATGTGCTGCTGCTGCCCTCTAGTGCATGAAAACACAAAATGTTTTTAAAACTGGGATTTGTGTTTGAGAAATATGTTTTTTTTCTGGATTACCTCAGGGACTTTCATTTCCTGTAGTTGCCTGCAAAGTGGTGTGGGAATATAAGGATGTGGTATTACTCTGTAAGAAACTAAAAAAAAAAACAGGGGATAATAATAATTCACAACACTTATCGAGTGAACCACATTTACCATGTAACTAAAGGTCCTCATCCATTATAATTATAATTTAAATATGTGGCCTTGGTCGAGTGATAAATGGTTTACGTGTACTATTTCCAGACAACTCTCAATTTTTTCTCCTTTATTCAAGACAATATAGATGTACATCAAACATTATATGCACACTAAACATTGAAATCAAGGGTAGGGTAGATAGGTACATATAGAATATATATATATATAAGGAAATAATGATATAAATATAAAGAAAATAGGGATAAAAAAAAGGTACCATTTCAACTAAAATATGTATCAAATACTCATTTGCTTGTTAACAGACACTTGTGAAAATGTAATATTTCTTGTTTTTTAAGCTTTGTTTATCTTTATGTCTTTTGTCCCTCTTTACTAGCTGTACAGCATCCTGCCGTCGTCAAGTTCTGCGCGCCTACGTCACGGATTTGCCCACGTGCAGATGTTTATGCTCCTCGTGCACGTCTCCAGGGGACAGAGCTATTATACATCCATGGGACAGAGGCGGAGAGAAACTGCGACTTGAAGAAAGCAGAATGAGAATAGAGGATAACTGACACATGATGTATTTCAAGACATTCAATTACAGAATTAGAAAACAAAATAATGCAGATTAATGTTAAGAATTGCATTTGCCTGACGTTCGGTTTGATAAACTCTCCAAGTAAAGGGACAATTGTGCTGCCTTCAAGGCCTACGGGAAAAATAAATGTTTATGAGAGTTTACTTACTAGCACGAAACATGTCTTACCTTAAAATTGTGATTTGAGAACCTTCATCAAGATGTATTTCGCATACATCAAATATGAATTATTTAACTATAACATTTATTATAATCCTTCAGAACTAAATTCAAGATGTTACACAACATATAAACTGTACATAAATACAATAATTCCCAGAGGTGGAAAGAGTACTCAGATATCTATGTTATCTTATGTAAAAGTACAAATAATACTACTGTGTAAACATACTTTTACAAAGTCCTGCATGCCTTACATGAGAAAAAAATACAAAAGTATTAGCATCAAAATATACTTGAAGTACCAAAAAGACAGATTGGCCCATTAAAGAATTATATTCTGTATATTACTTGTTTTGATTATAATTATTGGTGCAATACTGTGTTTATCACAGCTGGTAAATGTATAGCTAATTTTAAATCCTGCTTATACTGCAGGGTAGCATGTGGATTTTCTACAGGTGTGACTAAAGTCTGATTTAAGTGTTGTTTAAATGTCTTATGATTATTCAAAATCTGAAAATTAACTAAAGGTATTAAATAAATGTGGCGGAGTAAAAGTACACCATTTAGCTCTGAATAGTAGTGGAGTGAAAGTACAACTTGAGTACAGTAGCCTACTTGGGTAAATGTACTTAGTTCGCCTAACATCAATATTATACTATGTTGTACAACAGTATTATTTTTGTTTCATCACGTTCATTTCACAATTACAGTGGCTTCTTTCTCCAACATTATCATTTGCTATTCACATCATGAAACATGAAACATGAACGCAACACTGAGAGGGGGGAAGGGGTGCACCATTTAAATCCCTCCCCGGATTTGACAAACGCACGCACGCACGCACGCACCTTGTCTTGCTTGTAAACAGAAGCTCACACGTGACACCGTCGCGCGACCGCATTGTCTGCAAGCGGACAAAGAGCAACGGTTAGTTATTACCGAGAAACGGGCAGGTGGTGTCATGACAACAACGGACATTATGGATCTGACTTTCCTCCGTGGTTTGCGCCGCTGTGTGCGAGCTCGTACGGCCGCTTGAACTTCTTTAATGTCTGGATCCCAAATCCGGCCGTGTGGAGGGATAACGACGTTGGCTGCGGTGTTTTTTCCAGCTCACACGCAGCTGGCAGCGGGTAAACAAAGCTGGACCGCCTTTATTTCCCTTCTTAATTTAAATAGTTGGAGGATTCACTTCACCTGCGTCAAATCTTACTTTTCCAGCTAACGTAAGCTAACTGTTAGCGTCGACATTAGGTTTTTTTTAATTTATTTTTAGCTAATCTCTTTTTTTTCACTGGCTGCATGAGATGTCATTCACGATGGAGGATAACTTGGAATCCGAGTGGGTGTCCGTCAGACCGAGAGTCTTCGACGAAAAAGAGAGGCATAAATTCATCTTTATCGTGGCCTGGAACGACATCGAGGGAAAGTTCGCCATAACCTGCCACAACAGAACCGTCCAGAGGCGGAGTACCGTGCTGTTGGACCCTTTCATGGACCTTCCTGCCCCCGGTACTTCCGTGGCAGAGAAACACACAAAAAGTAAGAAAGATGAAGCGTGCCAAGTGGGTAAAGTAAGACTACACACTTTACCCAAAACAAAGCCTGTTATTGGTGACAAAAACGCTCTAAAACCCGTCTGTTCAAAGACCGAGTGTGTCAGTCCCACACAAGGGTCCTGGGATATTGTGACACCGAAAGTAATAGATATCGAGATCCTGGACCCCGCGGATGTCCCGCTTTCCCCGGATGATGCTGACCTAGGGGACTGTGAGAGCAGTGACCGGGAGGACTTCAGCTGGGCCGGGCTGTTCTCCTTCCAGGACCTGAGGGCAGTGCACCTCCAGCTGACCGCCGTCAACTCGGACTTGGAGCCGTGTTTACCCTCCTTTCCCGAGGAGCAGTCCGGTGTGTGGTCGGTGATATTCGGAGCCCCAGGTGTGTCCCAGCGGGAGACAGACGCCCTGTGCTACCAGCTGCAGGTGTACCTGGGCCATGCCCTGGACACCTGCGGCTGGAAGATCCTTTCCGAGGTGCTTTTCTCCGAGAGCGAAGACACGGAGGAGTACTACGAGAGCCTGAGCGAGCTGAGGCAGAAGGGCTATGAAGATGCTCTGGAGAGGGCCAAAAGACGCATGCAAGAGGTGAATTCACATATTCTTATCTGCACTCGTACTGTTCTTAAGTTCAATTCTGAAATACTTGTTCTCTACTTGAGTGTGTCCATTACCTGCTACTTTATATTTCTACTAAACTGCAAGTCATATCCAAATATTCCTGTTTATTTGACTCCCCTACATTGTTTTACAACTTAAATTACTTGAATATTCAGATTAATAATAGAAGAGAGAGCCAGAATATGCATGCAAGAGGTGAATTCACTTATTCTTACATGATTATCTACTGCTCTTAAATTCAATTTTGAAATAATAAAGTCATGTCCAAAAAGCCCTACTTTTCCCCCACTACGTTATGTTAAAACTTGAATATTCAGATTAATAATACACAATATAATCAAGGATCTATTTATTATGGTTGAAGATAATAATCCCATGTTGAGATTCACAAGCTACCTGGCTGTGAACCGTTATATAAGCTCCTCCTTTACCAGCTGCCACATACAGGTGATGAACACAATAATTCCTCAATTAGTATAATTCAGTAATATAACATGTATTCTTTTTGATATGGGCCGATTTGTAGAATAAGTACTTTTTGTTCTTCAAGTACATTTTTAAAGCTAAAACGTTCACACTTTTTGTACCAACATTTTTCTACATAGTGAAACATATCTCAGTACTTCGTCCACCATTTTTGAAGGAGATGCAGTTGTGATATGAATCTCTTTGTACTTTATGAAAAGCACATTTTTACACTCATTAAAGCCAGCCTTATATTACATGGGAAGGTATTTTTTTAGAACAACCACAGACTCCAAAGAACATGTAGTTTTGAGAGCATAATTGAGCCCCATGGTCTGCTCATTCTCCTCCTCTTCCTTTGTCCCCCTGTGATCTACCATCTGTTGCTGCACGGTCTCAGGCCTGTAATATGATCTGCTCCGTCCACACATCACACTCCAGTTGGCTGAACACTTTAAAGGGAGTCTCCTAGAAAAAAAATAGGAGAACAATTGGAGGTGGAGTTACAGAAACGACGTGTCACCAAAGCTGTTGAGATTGTTTCCTGACAGCTGAAGTTGTGTTTTTAGCTATAAGCATGTAAGAAGCTAACATGTTTTCATTTAAGTCTGTAGGGAATGTGCAAGTGGAGGTAAAAGTAAAATACTGTTTGTTCTGGTTTAATCTTTGTGACATTGTTTTTACAGCTGATCCAAAAGGGTTTTAAGTTTATTTATCTGCAGTAATAGGACATGTTCCTGTAAAGGAACACAACAAGTGATCCTTCACTTTTTCACAACCTTTCAAAATCAACAAGTCTTGAGATAAATGCCTTTCACTGGACACAAAGGATAAGAACATTTGCTGTCAGACAATTTAATTTAAGTTGCATAAATACTCAAGTAAAATACAAGAACTTAAGTTCGATGAAATGTTCTAAGATACATTTCACCACTGCAAATATCCCCAAGCAGTTAGAATAAACGTAAACACGCATTGTGGAACTACTGTGAACTCAACTGTAAAATCACAGTCACTGTGTGTTTTGGAGAGGAGACAACGCCTAAGGGTCTTTCACCTGTTGCTTTGTTCAACTGAATATGACACAAACAGCTGAGTAATGGTTAAGCCCAACCAGGAAGTCATTCTTTTATTACATCTAGGCTGTGTTTGAAATGGCATACTGCATAATACATCCATTGGTACGCTCTGCCTACTAAATGAAAGATTAAGTATGCCAATGCCGGCAGACTGTTCACACAGTTTTTCCGTCGATCAATGAATCCACTAATTGCTGAAGCTAAAATCGGGTGGATCTTATTGTTATGTAAGAGTTTCATTGATTCTCTGTTGCAAGTGAGGGATGACTTTCTGTGTTACTGGTAGAATGAGTCAAAACCCGGTGATAAGGGAGGTACAAGTGAGAGTCAGCAGTAGAACTAAAATGATACAATTTAAACGATTAGTGAATAGACAGAAACAGAGTCTGCAAATATTTTTGATAACATTATTAATTTTGAATACATTTTAGAGCAACATTTTCTAGCTCCAGATTCTCAAATATGAGGCTTTGCATGTTATTATACATTGAATATCTTCTGGTTTTGGACTTTTGGTTGGACAAAAAATGTGTCTAACCTCCAGGAACGCATCTACATGTATAGAAAAACTAAGAATCAGAAACACAAATCGGAAAATAATTCTCAGGTACTCACTAGCGCTGTGAGTATTGCCTGTTAGCGATAAGGGAAGCACAACATATTTTTACGCAGATTCCTTCCACTGGTGTGTTTGTTTTCTGGGACCCATTTTTTTCAATGGAGCAGCTGGAGATTCACTGTGGTGCCTTGTGTCACATGATGCAGCCCCAGTCTCAGTCAGGTTTGGGATGATAACTGGGCCAAATATGCCAAAAAACAGTCCAATGGAAAACCATCTACGGCTGTAGGGCATGTATCGGTCAATCATTGACCCGAGACTTTTAGGTTTTCCTGTGACAGAATTACACATTGCAAGCCAATAGTTTCATTATATTGACTTCACCTTGTAGTTGTTTATGTGTGTTAAAGTTAAGCAGCATGGTCAAAGCAGGCTTAATGTGAGTGCATTTACATGGACACTGAATCACCTGTTGAGGAAGCTTGTCGTGGTTATGTACATATCCGGGATATTGTGTTTTACGTTGGCAAACACATGTAACAGGTAATCCAAAAAACCTGATCATAGTTATGCAAATGTAAACAGTCATTGTTTGGTATTAAACATAGACTTACTTGAGTATAATGCAAACCTGCTAATGCACATTAAGACTGAAGTTAAATCCCTCTGCTGATTAGTTTCCGGACCCTTGCGTTGATCCATTTCAATGGCTTGTTTTGTTCAATCAACTCCCCAAAACCACAGATATTCACTTTACTTCTCATGAAAGACAATAAGAACTATTTAATTCCTTTGAACAGCTAGAAGCAAAGAATATTTGTCATTGTTGTTTGAAAAAGGATGGAAATCAAAATGATTGCTGTTAAATGTTCTGGCTAATGGATCAATGTGTTCAGCTCTAATGTACATTGACCTTTACATCCTAACTCGATAAACACTGACTTGTTCACAAAAATGATAATAGGCAGGTTATGTACTGTAAGTTGTGTTATGTTTACGCACAAAGCTTTTGTTTACTCATGGTGAGTGTGCACACTAGCTGCATCGTGGGATTAGTTTGCCATACTGTGGCTTTGTTGGAAAACATTTCACCTTAGTGTGTTTACATTGCATGATTCAATTTGGGGTTTAGTTTTCCTTAGACCCATCTTGCATGTTTGTCTTCATAGCATTCAGGTTAATTAAAGAGCTATTAGACAACGTCTGCTCGGTTTACAGTCGAGGCGTGTTCCTTCTGCGAGACATTTCAATTAAAAGGCAGACATTACTCCAGCAAGACGGTGCACATTTAGAACTGACATACTGGAAAAGTGAGGTAGTCCTGATGATAGAGCTCATATCACTCCAGTAATTATGGAATCACAGCACTTGGAACTGCTTTTTGATGCACATTGTATATACACATGCTCATGTATATTTTAATGACCTGATTCAAATTAGTTTGAAGAGAATTGAGTGCATTTGATCTTGTAGTTAACCTTTTTAGTTCTGTCAATCTTTTTAGGGTAGGTCAAGGTTTTTCGGGAAAAACAGGAAGCAGTGTTTGTGATGCATCAACACAAAGAATACAATATATTTCAATTTAAAAGCAGGTATGAGACTTTGTAAGAATTATACATAAGCTATGTGAAGAGACAACTGTCTCAGGGCCTGGATGTGGCCTTTGACTCTAGACAAGCCTTTTGGATGGCTGCGAGAACTCTATTAATTTAAACAGGGGGTTATGGGTTGTGCAGTTTGTCTCCACTTATATTTCAATATCTTGACAACATACCTATCTTATTTGATTTACTTGCACTATTATCTGTTTTGTGTTGCACTGTAGCTATGTACATATGAAAATAAAAGCCTTGAACCTTGATACCTGAACCTTGATACCAGGCAGGATGGATCCATGCTTTTTTGTTGTTTATGCCAAATTCTGACCCTACCGTCCGAATGTCGCAGCAGAAATCGAGACTCATCAGACCAGTCAACATTTCTCAAATGTTCTATTGTCCAATTTTGTTGAACCCATGGGAATTGTAGCCTCAGTTTCTGTTCTTAGCTGACAGGAGTGGCCCCCGTATGGTCTTCTGCTGCTGTAGCCCATCTGCTCCAAGGTTCCACGTGTTGTGTGTTCAGAGATGGTCTTCTGTGTACCTTGGTTGTAACTAGTGGTTATTTGAGTTACTGTTGCCTTTCTATCATCTTGAACCAGTCTGGCCATTCTCCCCTGACCTCTGGCATCAACAGGACATTATCTCCCAGAGCACTGCCGCTCAATGGATATTTTCCCCTTTTTTACAGAAGTGAAAGATTATTTGAATTATTGATTGTAACTTTTTTTGTTTGTTTTTAAAAACTCAGAATTTATTTAAAAATATCTCCTTAACAATTTCCTGAGGCCCAAAGATAAATGAATGATTTGTCTGAGATTTATCCAAAACTAAAGGATAATAAGTGTGCACTTACATCTCAGACATCCCTAAAGATTGGGAAGCTGTGAGGAAGGGACTGTTTGGTATCTTAGGTTTAAAAATACTTAAATAATACTTAAATAATTGATAGCTACAAAGTGCTTGTACTGTCAATCATCTCATCAATGATTCAGTTCCTTGTTTTGTCTCTAATTAAGAGTCTTGCTGGCTTCTTGAAGTGCAGGCTCATTAGCTCACACTCACTGACCCTCTGGCTTCATTCCTTTCATCATCAACACATAGATTTGTCTATGTAAATAAAACTAAATCAGGAAATTAAAGAAACATCTGACTTAAAAGGAAGTAATAATAGAACATCCGGTGTCAAGAGACTGTTTATTCCAGCAATCTTTTAACGGTTTGTAAGTGAAATAGCAAAAGAAAGCTAACACTTAGTTGCTCTGCGTAGCTAGAGTCCAGGCAGGACAGTTTTCTGGGCTATCAGCGACTGCAGGGTCAGGGAGGAGCTGTACGGGTTGGCCAGTGGTTACCACGGAGACACAGGCCCAAGGTAAACAGTAGGCGCAGTGTTCGAGCTGAATCGTGCAGTGTCTTTCCCCAACGTGGAGGGCTTTGGAAAAGCAGCCTGGAGTTAATATAAGAGTCTCTATTCATATCTATAGCTCCTTGCAGAGAGAAGAGCACTTTATCCAGCGCTTTGCTCGAAGACTGGGTGGAGGCACATTTCAATATTATCTGAGGCAGAAGTGAAGGAGCAGTATTGTGCTGTATGAAGCTGGAGCTACTGTTTTCTGAAGATGAATTGTATTTGTGTGTACAATAGCTGTTTTGATAGCAGCGTTTATCTCTGGAACAATGAGCAGTCTGTGGATAGCAGGACATATGGTACGGATAAGCAACAGTTGGGACAATTTATTCTCATTGTACTACACTCAACAAGATATTTGATAGTATCTGCCCACACACATCTTTACAGAGGAACTCGCTTACGTTTAGGACCCATTGTAATCATGGATTAGAATCACTTTACAAAATGCAGTTTCCTGTGAAATGAGCAAAGCGCCACAACCATGGTCTTATTATAACTAGCTCTATGGAAAAGGCTTATTTGTTCTTCACCTGGCAATATGTCGAGATAATACATCAAAAGTATCTCTTTTTCTCAATACATTTCTACTTGGTTAGATTCGTTGAAAGGATCCTTTTTGGTGTTATTCTTCATTTTTCTTTTGTCAACAAATCCTATAAAAAACAAACAAAAAAACAGCTGAAACAGTCTCCATCAAATAAACTATTTACCCCTGTTTAAGTTTTCTAAAGCTAAAGGCATTAATAACAGATTACTTTCTAGATTAATCATTTGGTTTATAAATTATAAAAAAAAGCGTCCAAATGTATTGAGTTTACATTGAATTATGTCTCACAAAAATAGCAAATAGTCAAATTTGAGAACCAGAAGCCTGTTAAAATGGAGATCATCAAAATGAATGGTGTCATTAGACAGCAATAGGCTCTGGGCTAAATCCCACAGACGGGCTCGGTGAAGTTGTTTTTAAGAGGCGGACTAACGCATTATAATTATTTGTGGTCTTTCCATGGGATTTATAGACGGTAAAACATCTAGAAATAACACCATCCTTGCCCTTTAAAGTCAGAGAAGACTATGTTGCTACATGTGTGTCTCTGACTGCACCAATATTCACCGCCACATCTCTTCTCCTCTTGTTTTGTCCCAGGTGCTGGATAAACACAAAGCCCTGGATAGCATGGTGGAGCTGCTGCAGGTGTACCCGGAGGAGGACGAGGCGTATGGAGAGCTGCTGGAGGCGACAACCCAGCTCTACCACTACCTGCTGCAGCCCTTCAGGGACATGAGGGAGCTGGCCATGCTGCGCAGACAGCAGATTAAGGTAATACACACGATCACACACACACTCACACACACACGCAGATACCACTACCATCTGTTTTGGGGCTTCATTTAAGTAGGTTTAGACCTCACTGGTCTGTCCTGGAACCCACTGTGACTGCACCAGTTAGATGCTGTTCTTTAGGTTTGAAAAGCCATGGTTAGTGCTGGGAACAAGCACCGCTGCATGGTAATGTCCTTCATGGAGCCCACTAAGCCCACTGTAATGACATTAGTCGCTGCGGATACATGTGCCGATGATGATGATGACGATGATGTAGCCGCTCTGTGCTACCCTGTAGATTTTCATCCGGGGGTTTCGCAGGTCAGAGGATCAGCCAGAGAGGCTTTTTTTCCCCTCCACCCAGAGCGGCTTAACAACCAGCATAAGTATTATTACAGCAGCCACTAAACCACTCAGTCATTCTGCAGCCTCAGCACACTCTTGTTTCCACACTCTTTCTGCGCTCACTTGTTGTTGTTTTCCTTTATTAGAGGCTTGAAAAGGGAAGTAAATCCTCAAGGTAATCTCTACTGTCTCATTGAGCTGGGTCCAGTCTTAACACACGCATGGTTTGGGTCAATAGGGTTGTCCTTCACACACACACACTGGACTACTCCTTTAACAGCTCAGCAGGAATATGTTGTAGACCAAATCTATATGATCATATTGAAACAAAACTGCAGGGTGAAGGAATATTATGTTTTCTTTTACAATACAAATATTAAATTACATATTTGAATAAACAGGAATACGGCATCAGAACTACAACTACTGTCTTTGCAGTTTGCTGCTGCTTGAGTTACTTTGATGTTTAATGTATGCTGTCTGATATCATAGCGGGTATTCCTGAGAGCAAAGAACATCACTTGATCATTGCTGACGAAAGGTCCCAATCATAGCCATTTTTTTATTGAACTTAAAAATATAATGTTCTGCAGTTATGAGGAACAGGATTCTCTGTGCTTTCTGAGCGGATTTATTATACGATTGTTTGTGATGCACATCCAAGACGATGCTATTCTCAGAATAGTGAGTGAGTCATGCTGACTATAAAAATATGTGCTTTACTTCTGTGTGTTCAGACTTAACTTAGTGAGGACTGAATCACCTCCTGTTGCTTAAAGATGACCAGCATGCACCTGTCCTATTAATTATTTATTTATTTATTTATTCATTCATTAATGATTGAGCTACCCGTTTGAGTCATACTTTGAGGGGAAAAAGTTCTAAAATTCTACCTTTTTGTAATCTGAATATTCCTCTTTTGAGTTATGAAAACACAGGACTATCTAGCCAACCAACCGATGTAATGACAATATAAATATTAGGTTCCACTCAAATGAATGACAGAGGTAACATTGCATCAACAATTCCTCCTCAGTACTTCAACAACGTATTCACTGTACAACAATACAGAGCCAGTCAAATAAAAACAGAATAACACCTGTTATCAGACAAAACATCCCACTGTGAACATCCTCTCAGCCAATTCTTAAACGCCAGCTTGAAGCCTCCCAAGCTGCTTACGATTTTGAGATTTCCTGGCAATCTATTCCTCAACAGATGCTCCGTAGTATAGGGACTTATTCTCAGCCACAGCCTTTGTAATTCTAATAATCACTGACTGCGTAAAGGTGTGTCCCTTCCCCTCCAAACCATTGTGTCGGAAAAATCCCACAAGAGGAGAAAGTCAGTGTTGGAAAAAATAACAGATTCATACAACAGTGTAAATAACATGAGCCGAACGTCTGCATCTCGTTAGGGAGGAAATGCAGTTTGAGTCTGAGTGGACTGTGCAGGCGTTCATTATGTTACAAAGTATTGAATGCTGTTGAACTGGACCCATGCGGTCTGGTCTCTCCCTTCAGAAACCCTTTCACCCCTCTGTTTTGTTGTGAGAACTTTCCCGTCTCTGAACTACATTCCTCACACAGCATGCTCCTCCAGCATCGTGTCACTAACCAACACTAGTCACTGTGTGGGTGTGTTCCCTGAGTGTTGGTTACAGTAGGATGGGATTAGGGTTCTTGGGTGGATGCTGATCTAAATTAGGCCTTTCACTGAATCACCAACATTTAAGGATCATCTTTCTCTAAAAACATCACTCTAGTGATGTTTTTGTTATCGTCAACAAATTCCATGAAAGTCCAAATCAATGAATTGATCCGACCAACAGGAATTATGTGTGTCTTAAAGCCTGCCATATCTTCTTCCCCTGTGCCAAAGAGCTCTATTGTTGTCCAACAACTACAAAAGAACCCACATCAATGAGCCTCACTGTTGTACTGGTTGACCTGGTTCTCATTACTATGAACACACACTGTTTCTTTTTTAACTCAATTCCACATACACCGTCCAAATACTTACCAGAGCGCCATGTAGATCCTTCCACTATTTAAAGTAGTCCCCAACAAACTATTTACTCCTTTTGAGTGACATTGTTAAAAATACTGTCCAGCTGTTTTATCATTAATTAAGAAATTAAACTAAAGATTTGTGTGTGTATGTTTTATATTGGAGACATTGTTTGTGTCTGTCTCTTCTTGGGATTTGCTGACAGTAACAAAAAAATAAGCATCAGATATACTAAGCTGACTGTTATTAATAATAGGTTTGATCATGATTAAATCTGCAGAATATTGTGTCAATTGATAAGTTAATCTTTTGTACTACAATATATAATAATAATAATAATAATAATAATATACTATGAAGTAGAATAGAGAAGGGTATTTCTGTTTTCCAAAGCCAAGATTGTCAAAAGAAATCTGTCATAGAAGACCAAAAAAAGATTTTACAACTGAATAATCCTGAAATATCTTGTTATAGTAATATTAATAAGAATGTTTGATATTGTTAAAGATGTATCAGAAATATATTCATAATCTATGGAAAGCCATCCAGAGATCCATCTTATTTCCTTTGTGCAGACGTCCCTTTCAAACTAGTGGATTCATATTTGAAAACAGTGGGCCTTTAGGAGGCAGAAAGGTAACATACTTTGAAGTTGCATTATGGGATTGTAGTACATTCTGTTTTTGGAGCTTACTAGAGGCTACAAGGCAGGATATCCAGACCTACGTGTCTTGTGGGTCCCCCAACAGATGGTAGAAGTCTCATTTACCTGAAGACTTGAGGTGTACCTTCCCCCAACCATTCGCTTTTTCTGTCTGAGAATCTGAACTCCACACATTGCCAAAGTTTTCAGCTCCAACACCTGCTCCCCTCAGGGCGATCCAACGGCTGAAAACAAAGCTTAGCTGTATGCAAATGAATCCTGGATGTCAGCGTTGGTTGGTTTCTCCCAAACTGATGAGACAGGAGACTAACAAATCCTATGCTTAATGAGAAAGAAGAAAGGGAAGTAGAGAAGGTCAGGTACTTTTAATTTACATGCAGTTTGCATCCGACTTAATGTCACAAAGCTGATGTGAAAAGCTTCAGAGCAACCGAGTATCAGCAGCTTGATAGAGTTACAAGCTCTCCTGACTTTATCTGCAAGTGTGAATACACACGGACATTTGTGAGGATGTTGTAAAGCCTCAACAGTGCAATAAAATGGGTCAAACACTAGAGCAAATGTTGTAGTGGAGGATTTCTGCTATTGCTCGTGTTGACATTTTAGTGCTGTCGTTGTATTCAGATGCTTCTCACACTGAGTTTAACAGTAGGGTATTAGGGCCATCTTTATTATAGAACTATATTGTTATTTTTATATTGTTTCAAAACATATTTTGATCTATAAAATAAAAACCTAAAAATCTGTTAGATATTAATGTTTCTATTACATTCTATAACATGTTTTTATGGGGTATTTGTTTTCCATTCTACTCCTTAAGAAAGTGCTGTTCAAAAAACTGTGTTATTGCTTAAATAGAGAAAAGCAGCAAACTCACAAATGACCTGCCGGATCTTGAGAATATTGCTTAGAAAATTACTTAAAAAGTGAATCAATTGTCAATAGAGTTACTTTCCTGTTGATGGAATAAATGTTTAACCTGTTAAGCCCCAAGGTCCCCCTCGGCGGGTCCTTTTTTTAAATTTTTTTATCCACACTGTGTCTCAGGGGATCTTAATATTTAAGAACCTATTAATGTGTTATACCAGATTAATGGGAATAATCTCAGCTAACTGACGATACAAACCATTTTTACCAAAACAAAACACAAGTCTCATAAGAAGCATCTAAATTACCCCTGAGCGAAAAATGCTAACGCACTTTGGCACAGAACTCAAGATAAAAGATACCCTTATTATTGTAGCTGCACATACAAGATATCGGATTAAAGCTGAGGTTCCACAGATTATTTAGGTATATATATCATCACTGAGTGATCCGAACTCGCGACAGAGGAAGCAAACACAGACATCACAACACGTACCTTTACGTAGCTTTTACGGGAGATCGTCTCACCGTAGCTGTCAATCTGATCAAAAGACGTGTTCAATGGCATTAAAACGAGAAAAAACGCGGCTGAATCGGTTAATCCATAGGTTGATGATGTTTCTGTGGAATCATTTTTTTAAATTTATAATTCCATTTTATGTAAAAATCGGAGAGTAAAAGTTAGCTGCTAATGGTAGCCTCCAGAGTTATCGCAGCTTCCGGTTTTGGCTATGAGTCTCACACACACACATTACCAAATAAGGAGTATGTGGGAGTTCCCCTCGATTCCATTGGCTCTGACGGTTAGAAAGAGATGTCAATCAGAGGTTAGTAATAAAAAAGAACTCTCGCTTCCGCGCCGCCGGCGTCAAGAGAGGTGCCCGACCGCCTTCACTTTACGAGACTACCCTTTGCTGTAGTCGACCATAGAGCTCGGACTCGCGCGAGTAACCACCACAAATGGGCAAGGCACGACTACTACTTTGAGAAGTTAACCGAGCCGTTTTCAAACAACAACAACCAAACACAGTCAAATGCAGGCGGTGAAAGTAAGTGTAAAAAGTAGTACAAAGTGTTACAATAATAGTAGTACTTTAATTATAGATATACA